CAGAATACACTTGATAATCTGAATCACGGTGGGTGATAGGCTTGCCTCTGTAAAACCAAGGCCTCCACTTGGCTGCTCGCCAGATACAGCATGGTGCTGCCAGTGTGGAGTGGGACAGCCATTGTCATGCCCTGTTTCAAGACACCATGAACATACATGTCCAATCTCAACCCTCTCACACCAGGCTTTTGCCGAGAGCAGAGAGACAGTGGTCTATAGGTAGAGAAGGGCCATGCAGGGCTAGCTGGAGATTGGGCAGCTGAGAACCCATCCTCAGGAGCTGGCAGGAGGCAGGGCCCCGAGTGAATTGAGGCTCCAACCCCTGGTACACACTGTATTGTCCCATCAGACTTCACATACAAAACACAAATTCAAGGGCGGCTGGCTGGTTCAGTTGGTATAGCATGCAACTCTTGATCTTGGGGTTGTGGGTTCAAGTCCCACAGTGAGTGTAGAGATTACTTAAAAATAAAAAATAAAATCTTTAGCTCAGATTTTATGGCTGTTAGTTAGGCATCTGCCTTCAGCTCGGGTCATGATCTCAGAATCCTGTGATCAAGCCCTGCATCATTGGGCTCCCTGCTGAAAGGGGAGTCTGTTTCTCTCTCTCCCTCTGCCCCTCCCCTGTTCATGCTCCCATACTCTCTTTCCCTCTCCTCAAATAAATAAATAAAATCTTTTATAAAAATAAAATCTTCTTAAAAACCCCACAAATTCAAAGATTAAGCTATCAGAATTTCAAGATGGCTACCACAGAGCATAAAACCCCACAGGGCCCTTTTGAATGCAGGACCCCGTACAGCTACACTGATCGTCTGACCATAAAGCTGGCCCTGTATACCCTACATTGTGGAATTTATAGCAATGGGGGAGTAAAATGTAAGAAGAGCACAAAGGAGGGAAAGAAAAATGGAAATATAGTATCCTAAATTTCTTACTTTATATATAAATTAGTACATTATTTGTTTTTTTTTAAGATTTTATTTTTAAGTTATCTCTGCACCCAACATGGGGCTCAAACTCACAACCCCAAGATCAAGATCGCATGCTCCTCTAACTGAGGCAGCCAGAAGCCCCACGTAGTACATTATTTGAAGGGGAAAGATTAAAGTTGTACATTGTGAACACTAAAGAAATCACTAAAAGAATGGAATTCTAAAAAACACTCAGTGCAGAAAAAGCTGGGGTTGGGAGAGAGAAGGAAGAATCACAAGAACAACTACCACCACCAAAAAACCAAACAGAAACAGAAAATGAATAGCAAGACTGTACATTTAAATCTGACCATACGAATAATTATGTTAAATGTAAATGAGCTAAACTCTAAATAAAAGGCAAAGATGATCATACTTGATTTAAAAAAAAGCAAGACCTAACTCTGCATTTCTTTAAACTGCACTTTGAATTTATTTATTTATTTTTTAAAGATTTTATTTATTCATTTGACAGAGACACAGCGAGAGGGGAACACAGTCAGGGGGAGTGCGAGAGGGAGAAGCAGGCTCCCCGCTGAGCAGGGAGCCTGATGCGGGGCTATGACCTGAGCCGAAGGCAGCCGCTTAACGACTGAGCCACCCAGATGCCCCTGCACTTTGAATTTAAAGAGACCTATCTGTTAAAATAAAGAGGTTCAAACACTAAAGTAAACATTATCATAAGAACCCTGGATTGACTGTATTGATATCAGACAAAGCAGACTTCTAGCCAAGAAATATTAGCAGAGATAAAGAGAAAAGACATTTCAAGCAAAAATGTAGTCAATTCATCAAGAAGATTGAACAATCCTAAATGTTCATGTACCTAATAACAGAGTTTCAAAATGTAAGAAGCAAAAAACGTCAGAACCAAAAGGACAAATGGACAAATCTGTAATTTTACTGAGGATTTCATCGCTCTTCATGAGTAATAGCCATATTGACAGAAAATCAGGAAATATATAAAAGACTTGAAAACCGCCATTAATTAACTTGACCTAAGTGACATTTTAGAACACTACACCCAACAACAATAGAATATATATTCAAGTATACATACGATATTTACCAGTAAACCATATGTTGGGCCATAAAATAAAACTTACTGAATTTTAAATGATTGAAGTCAGCCTGAGAATGATTCTCTCACAATGGAACTTAATTAAAAATAAATAATCAAAAGATATCTGGAAAATGCCAAAATATTTGGAAATAAATGCTTACGTTATAAAAGAAAAAAGTTTAGAAACACTCTATCTTGGTGTTTTAAATCAAAACACGTTTTATTGGGGCACCTGGGTGGCTCAGATAGTTAAGTGTATGCCTCCGGCTCAGGTCATGATCCCAGGGTACTGGGATCGAGCCCCACATCGGGCTCCTGGCTCAGCAGGGAGCTTGCTTCTCCCTCTCCCTCTGCCTCTCTCCCTACTCATGTGCTCTCTCTCTCTCTGTATCTCTGTGTCTCAAATGAAGAAATAAAATCCTAAAAAAAACCCCACATTTTATCCCATTAAGTTTCAAGTTATTATTTTAAATTATTCCCCAGTATAATGCTCTAGGTTGACATCTGTTTAAATTACCTTACTGCCAGTCCTGCACAAAACATACCATCCTTTTTTTTTTTTTTTAAAGATTTCATTCATTTATTTGACAGAGAGAGAGAGCACAAGTAGGCAGAGCGGCAGAGGGAGAGAGAGAAGCAGGCTCCCCGCCGAGCAGGGAGCCCGACGCGGGGCTCGATCCCAGGACCCCGGGACCATGACCCGAGCCGAAGGCAGATGCTTAACCGACTGAGCCACCCAGGCACCCCATCCTTTTCAATATTACATCCTTTTAAATCCTATAGTGAAATTGAATGTCATTATTCCACTTAATATCTGAAAAAAACCCCAATGATTTAAGGTTGTTTCTTTTTTTTTTTTTAAAGATTTTATTTATTTATTTGAGAGACAGAGTGAGAGAGAGAGAGCACATGAGAGGGGGGAGGGTCAGAGGGAGAAGCAGACTCCATGCTGAGCAGGGAGCCCAATGCGAGACTCTATCTTGGGACTCCAGGATCATGACCTGAGCCGAAGGCAGTTGCTCAACCAACTGAGCCACCCAGGCGCCCTAAGGTTTTTTCTTAAGAAGGATAAAAAATAAACTCAAAGCAAGTAGAAGAAAATAATAAGATGTAAATATTCATGAAATAGCAACCACTGAACAACGGAGAAATCAATGAAACATAAAAAGTTATTTGAAACACCAATGAATTAATAGACATCTAGGTGGATGGAACAAATAAAAAAAGAAAAAGCATAAATTAGCAGTATGAGGAATGAAAAAGGGGTGATCAGCACAGATCTTACATTAAAGGATATAAAGGATGATATGAATAAATTTATTGTAGTAAATTTGACAACTTAAATGACATGGACAAATTCCTTGAAAGATACAAATTGCCAAAACAGACACAAGAAGATACAAGAACTCTGAGTATCTACATATTTATTTTTAAAATTAAAGTTAAAATTTTATTTTATTTTATTTATTTTTTAAAGATTTTATTTATTCATTTGACAGAGAGAGCACAAGCAGGGGGAGCATCAGGCAGAGGGAGAAGCAGGCTCCCCCGCTGAGCAGGGAGCCCGATGCAGGACTCGATCCCAGGACCCTGGGATCATGACCTGAGCTGAAGGCAGACGCTTAATGACATGACTGAGCCACCCAGGCACCCCTAAAATTAAAATTTTAATTAAAAGCCTTTGCATTAAAAAAAACTCCAGGTCCACGTAGCTTCACTCGTTAATTTTATTAAACATCCAAAAAAATAATATTAATCTTACACAAACTCTTACAGAAAATAGAAGAGGAAACATTTTCTAACTCATTTTATAAGACCAACATTACCCTGTTGGAAAACCAAAGACACTACAAGAAAAGAAAAATATAGAACAGAACTCATGAACATAAATGTGAAAGTCCTTTAAAAACATTAGCAAATAAAATTCACATATGCATATAAAAGATACTAAGTTATGACTAAGTAGAGTTTATTTATTTTTTTAAGATTTTATTTATTTGAGAAAGAGAGTGAAAGAGCACAAGCAGGGGGAGCAGCAGAGGGAGAGGGAGAAGCAGACTCCCCGCACAGCAGGGAGACCGATGTGGGACTCGATCCCAGGACCCTGGCTGGGATCATGACCTGAGCCGAAGGCAGACGCCCAAACATCTGAGTCACCCAGGTGCCCCTAAGTAGAGTTTATAAGAGAATGCAAAGTTGCTTTAAATTTAAAAATCATTTTATTTATGAGATAAAGAAAAAAAGCCTTCTTGTAATTATCTTAGTAGATGCAAAGAAGCATTTGAAAAAAATTTCACACTTATTCATAATTGGGAAAAAAAACCCTCTAGCAAATAAGAAATGGAATTTCCACAATCTGATACATGGCAACTATGAAAAAACTACTGCAATATCATACTAAGTGGTAAAAGATTTAACACCTTTCCTTTAAGATTGGGAAAAAGGCAAGGATGTCTTCTTTCACTGCTTTTATTCAACATTTTATTTTATTTAGATTGGAAAAGTGCCCTTTCAGCTCTGACACGCTGGGGAACAAGGTCGTGAAGAGGAGGACTTGGTGTGCTGCTGCCACTTCTAACATCTTGGGTCCCTGCGCCTTTTGCAGAACTTCTAACAGTGCTACGTTGGGACAGAGCATCCAGAGGTTCACAACCTATGTGGTCTGTAGGAGCCACTGGGAGGAGGGCCTAGGGAAGAATTTGTCATTTTCAGTGGAAAACAAGTGCCAGTTACTAATTATGACAACTGTGTACTTTGGATCTGGATTTGCTGCACATTTTTTTTTATAGTAAGACACCAGCTGCTTAAGAAATAAGGATGCTTTAATTCATTAAACAGATGTGAAAAGGAACATTTAAGAGGTGCAATCTCTTTGAAAAAATGAATCAAACTCTTGAGTTCAACATACTCAATATGTTTGTAAATAAACTTATGGCATGAAAAAGAAAGGAAAGTAAAACAACATGATTGTATATGTAGAAAGTCCTAAGAAATCTACAATAACAAGGTACTAAAATTCATCAGGGAATTTAGCAAGGTCTCAGGATACATGGTCAATATATAAGACATAATTTGTACTTATACATACGGGAATAAACAATTGGAAAATGAAATGTAAAATAACATAAAAAGTTGCATAAAAATCATGAAATACTTAGGTATACAAAACTTGTACACTGAAAATACAAGATATTGCTAAGAAAAAAAATTAAAGAACTACTAAATAAAGAGATCCATCACATTAATAAATTAGAAGATTCAATTTTGTTAAGACATCAAATTCTCTCAAAATTGATCTCTAGATTCAACACAGACCTAATCAAAATCACAGCAGGCTTTGTTCCAGAAATTGACAAGCTGATTCTCAAATTTATATGGAAATGCAAAGGACCTCAAATAGCCTAAAACGTTTTCAAAAATAAGAAAGCTGAAGAACATATACTATTGATTTCAAGACACTGTAAAGCTACAGTAATCAAGACAATATGGATTAATGAAAGCAGAAACAAATGGATCAATAGAACAGTACAGAGTCTAGAAATAGACCCACACTTATATAGGCAATTGATTTCCACAAAGCTGGGGAAAAAAAATAATCTTTTCAATAGATGGCTTTGGAACAAATGGATATCTACAGGGAAAAAAAGTAACCTTGACTTTTTACCCACACCATTTACAAAAGTTAACTTGAAATATATCATAAGCCTAAACCTAACAGATAAAACTATAAACCTCCTAGAAGAAAAAAATAGACAAAAAAATCTTTAGGGAAGGAAAAGATTTCTTAGGACACAAAAAACACTAACCCCTAGAGGCAAGAAATCGATAAACTGGACTTCATCAAAATTGAGATCTTGTGCTCTTCTAAAGATGTTTTAAAAATGAAACAGCAAGCCACAGATGGAGAGAATATTCAAAATACATATATCTAACAAGCACTTAAATCCATAACATATAAGGAACTATTACAAATGAATGATAAGGCTAACAACAGTATGAAAATATGCATCAGATGTGAATAGACATTTTACAAAAGATTTTATGAGTAGCCAGTAAGTACAATAAAGCACCTGAAAAGAGGTATACTATCATTAGTCATTAAAGACACGCAAATTAAAACCCAACATACCACTACAGACCCACTAGAATGGTTAAAATGTAAAAGAATAATACTAAGTATAGGAGTACCTGGAACTTTCAAACACTACTGTTGTAATATGGTACAACCACTTTGGAAAACAGTTTGGCAGTTTCCTATAAAATTAAACATATGATTGCCATATGAAGTAGCAATTTCACTTGTAAGTATTTCATGTGAAGGAAAAATGTTATGTTTACACACATACTTCTACATGAATATATTCACAGCCTCTTTATTCAGAATAGCCCAAACTAGAAACAACCAAAAGGCAATTGACAAGTGAATACATAAACAAAATGTAATATATTCATACAGTAGGATATTCCTCAGCAATAAAAAGGAACAAAACCAACAACATGGACACCTCCCCAAAACATGGAGAAACAAAGAAGTACATACAGTATGATTCCATTTATATGAAATTCAAGAACAGCCAAAATTAATCTATAATGAAAGAAAGCATTATAGAAAGCCCTGTCTAGGGCCAGGAGGGTGAGAACTAAAAACAAAAGAGTAGGGGCGCCTGGGTGGCTCAGTTGTTAAGAGTCTGCCTTCGGTTCAGCTCATGGTCCCAGGGTCCTGGGATCGAGCCCCACATCAGGCTCCCTGCTCCGTGGGAAGCCTCCTTCTCCCTCTCCCACTCCCCCTGCTTGTGTTCCCTCTCTCGCTGTGTCTCTGTCAAATTAATTAATTAATTAATTAAAAATTTGAAAAAAAAAAAAGAGTATAAGGGAACTTTTTGGGGTGATGAAAATATTATAATCTTGATTGGGATGGTAGTTACAAAGGTGTATACATTTATCAAAACTAACTGACCATACACTTAAAATGGGTGCATTTTATTGTATGAAGTTATATCCCGGGGCACCTGGCCAGCTCAGTCGGTAGAGCATCCAACTCTTGATCTCAGGGTTATGAGTTCAAGCCCCATTCTTTCTCTTCTCCTTTTGAGACTCTAATTATACATATGTTAGATGATTTAATATTATTCCACAGGTTACTTGTGCTCTTTTCATTTATTTTTTTGACCTGTTTTCAAGTTCACTAAACATTCTACAGAGCAAAGTCCAATCTGATTTTAAGTCCATCTAATAATTCTTATTTCAGATATTGTACTTTTCAGTACAAATTTTCCATCTGGTTCTTCTAACATTTCCATTCCTCTTCTGAAATATTCCATCTCTTCACCCATTATATATTTTTTCCTGTATATTATTTAATATATTCATAATCATCTTAAAGTCCTTGTTGGCTAATGCCAACAATTGTGTCATCTTTAGGTTTCCTTTTATTGTCTCTTTTTTTCTCTTCATTATGGTTCACATTTTCTATTTCTTCTAGTGCCTTGTAATTTTAATTTATGTATGTATTTAAGTAATCTCTACCCCTACTGTGGAGTCAAACTCATAACCCTGAGATCAAGAGTCTCATGCTCTTCCCACTGAGCCAGCCAGGCACCCCCTAGTGCCTTGTAATTTTTGATCATATTCTTGGCACTGCCTATAAAAGAACAATAGAGGAAAAGATATACTTTGTGTTTGTTTTGCTTTATATATTTCTGAGATTATAAACATTCCTCTCTCTGGTAATTAGATTGAGGAGCTGATCATTCAGATTCCTCCTAGAGTCAAGTTGAGCTGAGGCTGGGTAGCAGGTTTTATTACAGGGAACTCACCTGGGATTAGCCCAACCTCTAACCTCCTGAGCTGCTGCTACCTTTTAAATATTGTCAATATTTGAGCTGGAAAAAGATGGCTACGGTTTCAATTATTTTTGGTTCAACCCTGGATTCAACCCTGGCAGGATATCACTGCACAAATATGTGGGACTATAAAACTTCTTTGTGCCTCCCATACCCCCTGCAATGCTGCTGTCTTAGTAAAAACTGGAACAGCAGATAATTATTGGGCCAAGTAGTTTGTTTTTGCATTTGGGATTCTTCCAGATTCCAATCCGCACTCCAATTCCAATTTTAGTATGTATGCTGCCGAAGCAAGCACCACACTCCAATTCCAACAGTCCGTACTGTGAACTAAGACTTGGCAGATTTTCCCTTTTCTCTGGGAAGCTTCACCATCTATGCAGGGCCACCTGTATCCAGACTATATGCTTGTCTTCAGGTATGAAAGTTGTTATGGCTCGTTGTTCACTTAGAAAGGAATTCACTCTGGAATTCAGTTCATCAAAATTTCCTTGCATCCAAAACTATTCACTAGCCTCAGAGAAATATGTGATTTTTATTTTGTCCAGTATTTTCTTGTCACTATGGGAACAAATGTTTTTCAAGTTCTTCTACATCCTAACTGGAAGAGGAAGTCTTAAAATGTTTTTAATGAAATAGAATAGTGAACAATAGTATAAATCAGAATACACTGCATGAAGGTAAGAGTAAGTATTACTTCAGAATGTTTGTTTCAGAGGGGTGTGTGTGTGTGTGTGTGTGTGTGTGTGCATGTGTGATGGGTTGTACATGTATTATCATGGTGAGGTGTGGTCAAAAAATTTGGAAAGTCTGTCTATAGCCATTGGAGTCCACTTCAATGCAAGGCAAAGAGTTTAGAGAAAGGATATTAGGACATGAGTCTCTAAAGAGAATTGTCTACTGCTAGCTGAATTTCAGGCACTGAAACAGTTCAGAAACATAAGGCTTTTACATATCAACACAGAACAAAGTATGTCCCTGGAAAAATACACAAAGCACAAAATATCACAATAGGCAACTGCTGTTAGAGAAGAATAAAATACATCCAGATATTTTAATAACAAACAGCCTTTGGTTTTTATTAAAGCCAGTTTCTGGGCCTATGTGCTATAATTCAATGTGCTGCTTACTGATTACTAAGAATGCAAAGAAAGATTCTGGAGAGAAAATGTGCTCCTTTTATATATGGCTTCTTTAATAAAAATATTTTTTAAATTTCTTTTTTTGGAGTGAGGGAAGAGATAAGAAGATTCTCTGAATGTAAGAAAGCTATTCCTAGGTGAAGAGAATAGATCACCTTTAACTCAGCGGTGAATGAAACAAACCAAAGAAAAGGCATGTTTAGGGGTGCCTCAGTTGGTTAAGTGTCTGCCTTCGGCTCAGGTCATGATCCCAGGTCCTGGGATGGAGCCTCATGTCAGGTTCCCTGATCAGCAGGGAGCTTGTTTCTCCCTCTCCCTCTGCCCCTCTCCCTACCCGTGCTCTCTCTCTTGCTCTATCTCACTCCCTCTATCTCAAATAAATAAAATCTTTTTTTAAAAAAGGCATGTTATAAAACATAGGTAGAGATCATAGCATTTATATGGGAGGCATCATGGTACAGGATACAAACAAAGAGTGCAGGCTTTGGGGCCGGACACCTGGATTCAAATCTTCTGCAACTTACTTGGTGGTGGGCCTTATACTCTTAACCAATCCAAGCCTTACTCCACAACAAGGGAATAACACACACCAGTAGAGTTATTAGAAGGATCAAATGAAATAATATATAAAGTCTCCTGTACAAGGTAAGTGCCCATGAATAGTTATGACGTTACTGTCACAACTTCTTTAAATATTATATGTATGTAAGTGTCAGTATACATCCTCACCAATCTAACTTCCTGAATGTCTCTCTCTTTATGTCTATCCCTATTACAACAACCTCAACTTATGTACTTATCATTCTTCTCCTAGAACTACCATAATATAGCCTCCTCTAAGGCCTACCTGTCTCTAATATCAACTCCCTTCCAGTACTGTTGCCAAAGTGATATTTCTAAAACTTAGATATGATCAAATCACAAACCAGTTAAAACCTTTGGTGGTTTTCGGTGCTCCATAATCTACCAAAGTGGTTATCAAAACATACTCCCAAGGAACAACAGATTTCCAAGAACTGAAC